ATATAAATAAATGTGACTTTGACCACGTCAGGGTCAGGTTACCTGTTTCCTGGTGCTGCTGGGTGACTGGTTGACAGGTCGAAGCTGAACACCTTTCTTAATCCTTTGCATCATTTCCTCCACTGCCTGCTGCCTGACATCAACTTCTGGCAGTGAGTGACCGACAAACACACACACACACACACACACACACACACACACACACACACACACACACACAAAATGCAACACACAAACACACACAGACACACACACACACACAATGTTTTTATAATGTCTCAGCTGTGGAGAAATGCAACACAGCTTGAACCTGGAGCAGGACCTGAGGACAGAGGCAACACGTGCATAGATGGTGCAGTATAAACCACCTCGATCAACCGTTGTTGTGATTTGGTGCCTCATAAATAAAACTGAACTGAATCATATTTAGTGATAAATATTGATAGTGATAGAATAGAGAATAGATATAATAGTGATAGATATTTATCTAGCAGCAGCAGATTAGGAACACCACCAACACTTGGGGAGTTTAGAAGCATGTTAGCGTGGTGTAAAGTCATAATTAGCTCTGCGACTGAAATAAAGTTAATTCAGGTTGTTTAAAAAAACACTAAAGAGCCAGTCGGAAGTGATTGATGACTTTTTGTTTTGCACACATCAGTCTGTTCTACACGACCGAGACTTGTGGAGGTTGATTTGGCTAACGATGAATAATTGTTAGGCTGCTAATTTCAAAGTATTCAAAGTACACGCAGGACATTTGTGGTGTGTAAGAGTAGCAGGATTACTCTGGAATCGATTTTGACTCTCTGTGTAAAAACACACACGATTCATCTATTTTCCATCCTCACGTTTACAAAGGACAACAAAAAGTGTAATTCTACAATAAAGGCGTCCATTCTCAAAGCAGTGTGAATATTTAATTTTCTAACATCAAACATTCAGTGGCACACACAATGCAACTATTGTCACTTAAGATGTCTTTAAAATGTCACACAAAGACTATTTTGTGTTAAAGTAATCGTAAAATATTTTTCTCCAGTACTCAAAGAGAGACTATTATTCAGGTGTCAGAGTAGAAGATCCTTGGGTTGCACCTATTCAGCCTTGTATGCAATTCCAACAATTTCCCTGTGTGTAGCTCAATTCAGCCAGCACATATTCAAGAACTATTTTAAAAAATGAGGGCACAGTTTAAGCCTATTCAGGCAACACAGATGTCCTACCTGCTCCAACAAGTCAAGGCTTTCAATTTCATTGCACAAATTAAAGAATTTAACTTCCTGACCTAAAAGGCCAGCGATGAAGATTTAGAGTTTGAATTTCTCATGGACCATTTGGCACATTGGTTTGTTCTTCTAATGTGTAAGTGACGTGCGGGAAACAGGCTTAAAATTGAAAATATCTGAAATGCAAAATCAGAATTCAAAACTCCTGAAATACATGAAACAAAGCGTCTCAAACAGAAGGAAATACAAAATGAACATGCATCGCACAAAAAACAGAAGAGATTTTCCCAAATCAGGAGATAAAGAGAATAATCGTTCTAACTGCATCAAAACATAAAGCAAACCAACTAGGCCTTTCTAGATCCTCGGCCATATATACAGTGGTGTGAAAACGTATTATTAAATATTAGCCAAGCAAACACAAAATGTAGTTTCTAAATGAAGATATTTATAATTAAAGGGAAAAACCCAAACCTCCACGGCCCTGTGTGGAGAAAGTGATTGCTCCTCAATCTGATGACGTGCTGGGCCGCTGCAGCCACCGCAGCCACCGCAGCCACCGCAGCAACAACTGCAGCCTTTGTAATAACTGACAGTGTGTCTTTCACAGCACAGTGGAGGGTTTTTGGGCCACTCATCTTTGCAGAATTGTTGTCATTCATCCACAGTGGAGGGTTTATAAGCATGAACCACCTTTAAGGTCGTACCACAGCGTCTCAATCGGATACAGGTCAGGACCAGAGATGGGCAGTAACGCATTACTTGTAACGCGTTACTGTAATCTGATTACTTTTTTCAAGTAATGAGTAAAGTAAGGGATTACTATTGCAAAAACGGTAATCAGA